GGAACAAGGCGGATCACAACTAATCAAAGATTGTTCGAGATCATCGATTGATGCGCTCACGCGGACGACGCACTGAGATGTAAGAACGACAAGCTGAAGACGGGGGGAGAGAAGAAACCAGCCAAGGATGCACCTTAATCAAGCAAGAAGAAAAGTAGCAAGAGTGGGAAAAGGAAAGCTCAAGCGGAAGTCCTCGCGTCAGAATACGACACGAAGAGAATATGGTGCCCTATACACAAGTCGGACAGACATTCTCTAGAGGATTGCCTTGTCTTCAAAAAGTCGTTGGAAAAGCAACTGGCATTGGAGAAGGGCAAGCAAGTACGTGTAGTCGAGAAGGCCGCTGAGGCAACCACTTAGGACTCGGACTCGGCATACCCAGATTCCGATCTCCATGTCTCGCACATCTTCGAAGGTTCCACGGCGTACTCCTCAAAGCGAGAATACAAGAAAGTGGAGCGTGAAGTTTGTTCGACATGGCAGGGGGCTGCACCCAAGATGAAGTGGTCCAAACAGAAGATCGAGTTCTCAGATGACGACCACCCCAAGGCTGTTGTCATCCCAGGACGATATACAAGATCAATGGCAATGTATATGCACAAACTCAATAGATAAAGAAAAGTGAAGATTGTTGTTTCATGCAAGAGTTAGCTATATACATGTTTCAATATATTTACATTAAAATCATAACGAGCGAACGAGAGAAAAGAAAAAAAATAGTCAACCATATAATTAACCTATTGTACATGTTAGTTTTAATAGTTTAATATGCACTAATATCCAATTAGTTAGCTATAATATTAAACTTGCTCTAAGGCCAATCTCAATAATGGAAGTACCCATGGGTATAAATATCTACACTCGGGGTCATTGTAAATTATCTCACAGATCAATACAACTACTCTCAGCGCATTGCCACACTCTTTATCGAGGTTTTTATTTATCATCCAGCAGAACTTGGCACCTGACGTGGGGCTACATTGGCTTTCGATTTCCGGCGAATGGGTAAGTCCTATGTTCCGCCAGCCCTAGCAATTGTATTGGCTACATTGGTGTTGTTGAAGGCTGCATCGCTTCGACCTCTTCGATCGCTCTGGTTCGGTTGATATATTTGCCAACCTATTTATCATATATCTTAGTTAATCTAGTCTTAGTATCTCAATTTAGCCATATCGACCGATTCTCACTTTAGGGTTTATGTCGGTATCGGCTAAATTGCTTTGCTAGTTTAGATTAACTAAGGTATCTACCACCCTAAAAATCAGTCAAGGGGGCTTGATTGTCAAATATTATGTTTCCTTTTATACTTAGTGCTGCATCAGTTAAGTTTGATCTACTAAGTGCTGATGAGTTATCTGGACATCTGTAACGTCTCGCCTTTCCTAGGCCAGGCCCACTTACATCTAGCAGCTTTTCTTGGACATAGACTGCCTTCACAGACCAACACACTTTATCCTCACTCGTGCGCACTCGGGAACAATTTTCCGATTGGTCACCCATCCATTTTCTTGGACATAGAACTGCCCTCACAGACCAACACACTTTATCCTCACTCGTACGCACTCAGGAAGAATTTCCCGATCTGTCACCCATCCCGAAATTGCTCTAGGCCAAGCATGCTTAACCTCAGAGTTCTTTGGAGATCGGCACTTTTGTCCTCACTCGTGCGCACTTGGGAAAAATTTCCCGATTGGTCACCCATCCCGAAATTGCTACAGGCCAAGCATGCTTAACCTCAGAGTTCTTTGGAGATTGGCTTCCAAAAAATAAGTTGCAATTTGTTGATATGAGTATTCTATTAATCCTATTAAACCCGGGGCCGGGATGTCACATCCTCACTCCTTTAAGAGAGACTGACAAGCGCCCATGAAACCGCGAGAGTCAGCTCTGATACCATTCTGTAACGTCCCGCCTATCCTAGGTCAGACCCACTTACATATGGCAGCTTTTCTTGGAGATAGACTGCCCTCACATACCATTCTGTAACGTCCCGCCTATCCTAGGTCAGACCCACTTACATATGGCAGCTTTTCTTGGAGATAGACTGCCCTCACAGACCTCCCGCCTCTCCTAGGCCAGGCCCACTTACATTTGGCAGCTTTTCTTGGACATAGATTGCCCTCACCTCTCCTAGGCCAGGCCCACTTACATCTGGCAGCTTTTCTTGGACATAGATTGCCCTCACCTCTCCTAGGCCAGGCCCACTTACATCTGGCAGCTTTTCTTGGACATAGATTGACCTCATAGACTAACACAAGTCTTTTCTACACACTTGCGCACTCGGGAAGAATTTCTCGATCGGTCACCCATCCTGAAATTGCTCCAGGCCAAGCACGCTTAACCTCAGAGTTCTTTGGAGATCGGCTTCTGATTAATCCTATTAAGCCATGAGCCGGGATGTCACAATATTGCATTGGCTTCCAAGGATTGTATAACCGATCGCAACAAAAGTTTCACTGTTTATCTAATCATTTGGATTTAATGACATCGGACTTTCAGTCGATGTATGCTTTAACCTTCGGATAAGTGTTTATGCTCTCATATCATTATTAGCCGATTGATTTCTACTGGATTGTATTATTGTTTTATCACATTACCATCAGTTGATTGTCTTTATATCGTTATCTACATTAGACATATAGCCGTTTGATCAAAACCCCATCGACATCGGCTGGAACTACTCCATCGGCTTATCAGCCAATCGGCTATTTGATATGCTATTTATATATCTTGTCAATTGTAGAATCAAACTAACTAGCACACCCGCATCTCATCAACCATTTGGACCTGCACTTGAGCTAAGCAGATCTCCTAGGCCATTGTATTCGTCGACTTAGTTCGCGCCAACACAGTTCCGACAACATTGGCAGAGCGCAGATTTCTCAACAATAATAAGGTGGTGAAACAACGCCTAATTTTTTAGAAATAAATCGGGTGCCCGATTTGTAGTCGCTTCCCGGTGGTTCCAAGCAATTATCTTCACTTTTTGCTCACGGGACCGCCCTAGCCATCCCGCTTATGATTTTTATTATTATACCATTAGACAAAATGATATTATCATATTATTTATTTTCATATAGGTCTGTTCTCCTAGCCTATATGAGAAGACAGTAATATAACTATATCATTACGCCTAATGGTATAATAGAAAACAAAATATGAACTGATGGTTTGTTTGGTTGATCGCCTTACTTTGCCAGCTAAGCTTGTGGAAACTTAGTTCGACAAACTGAGAGTGTTTGGTTCTTTCCATTGCCACACTTTCTTAAGTAGTTGGCACACTTGCCGCATTATGGCTAGCAAAGTGTGGATGCTACTAAGAGCTACATATGGAGAATATTTTTGCCTTGGTGGAGGCTTCTTCCCAGCCATGAAGCCATAATTTAGGGGTAGTGTTCATGGGTGTAAGCCTTTTCCCATGCTTTTAAAGATTTGACATGCAATAAGATCGTTATTATGCAACCTGATAGTGTGTGGAATGTGGTCAATTTGGTTTTCCACGAATGCTAGGAAGCATAGGGATACCCGGTGAACTGTACTGTCAACCATTGGGGAAATTAAGGGGATATGGTTTTGGTTTGTGTTTGCTAAATTGGCAACCTCCACACCCCGAGAAAGCCACGTTTTACGATAATTGCAATGAAAGTGCTATTGCTGTCATCGCCATGAACTTAGAAAGGAGGTTTCCCACTGGTCAAACACATGTTGGTTTTTTTAGACAGCGAGTGCTCTTGCTACCTGAAGCCTTGCACTACTACACAAAAGCACTTCGGTGCTGGTTGGGAACCCTCCTTATATGCCGGCTTTCCCAATCGGCACCACGGAGACGGCACAGATGACTTCGATCATCAGTACCGGTTTTAGAACCTATATGTGTAATAGATGCTGGTTTTCAGGTTAGAACCGGTTTTGGTATCGGTTTAGAACCAACACATTTAAGGTTTCACGAATAAAAAAAACAGCTCAATGCTCGAGCTGAGAAACTCCCTTTCACCCCGACTTATCAAGAACACACCAGATTCACATGAACAAGAACTATCCCTTCAACTTGATTCAAAACAAGAACACAAACTCAATTCCTTCAACTCAATCTTTTGCTAAAAAGAACAAGAACACGTTAGAAACATTACTTGCCGCCGCCGTTGCCAATTCAGAACAAGAACACATGCTGCCGCCGCCTCCTCCATCCGAGGCCGCTGCCATCTCCTCCCCTCCCGCCATCGCCGGCCTCTGCCACCACCGCCTTCCCTCCTGCCACCGCCCGCCTCTACCGCCTCCGCCTCCCCTCCTGCTGAATCTAGTGGATGGGAGGGCGCCGCCGCTTCCTCCGCCGTCGGAGCTCGCTCCCAGACTCCAGTGGGTGCTGCCGTGTTCCAATCGAACCACTGCACGAAATGGAATAAACTCAAAGGGAATGGAAATGGCATCGAGAGGGGAGTATGGAATGAAGATGAGGCAGAGATGGCGATGGCATGACAGCGATCGGTGACGCCTTCTTCTCCATGGCCAGCAACAGATTTGGGGCGAAGGGCGGTGGATGGAAGAAGAGAGGAGAAGAGAGGAGAAGAGGAGAGGAGAAGGAAGAAGAGAAGAGGAGAGGAGAAGGAAGGGTGGTAGGCGGTGGATTTTCCTACCGGCCAACACCATTCTCCCCACCCATTGACGGCTGCCGTAGAGGTTTGGGTTGAGATGGGAAGAGAGGGGAGTGAGGTGGAAGAAAATTGCCGGCTGACATGTGGAGTCTACGTGGGCTCCACATTGACTCAGCCGCCACGTCAAAAAAACAGCAATACTATCTTAGGATCAAATGTGACCCGGTTTTACCAGCTTAGGAATACATTATATTTGGTATTCCGGTTCGGGACAGTTTTAAGACTCGACTACAAGATAAGGGATCTTACGTGAACTTTTTCCGAGATGAAAAATTTCCAGTCTCATGGGCCTGTGCATATGACCCACAGGCAGGCGGCAGCAGAGCGCCGCACAGCCCCCGGGCCCCGCCCCACAATCGACCTCCGGCCCTCCGGGTCCCCAATCCATCCCGTCTCCTCGCCCGGCGCCCTCGACTCCCGTCTCCTCGCTTTCCGCCGGCGCCGATCTCCATCCTACTAGCGGAGGTGGCGCCGGCGTTCTCCTGCTCCCGCCGCATCATCGCTCACCGGTGAGCATCCTAATCCATCCCATCCGGCCTCGGCCTCGGCCTCGAATTTCGTCTCCTCGCCCGCCGCTTTGTGCCGAATCCCCATCCTGCGAGCAGAGGTGGCGCCCGGCGTCTGAATATTTTGCTCCTTCCTCCTACCCCGTTTCAAGCCTTTGCGGCCCTTGCGCCTCTCCCCTTGCCGGCCGGCCCCGCTCAGTCGGTTGCCTCGGACTCAGATCCCACTCGCATCGCCATCCTAGAAACCGATGAGCAGCGAGGCCGGCGGCGCTGCGGCGAGCTCTGCCTCCGCGCCCCCGCCGCCGCGGAGGACGCCCCTGGAGAGGACCGCGGACGCGGCGGAGGAGTTGTATCGCCTCCGCGACACCTTCTTCCCCCGAGACCCCGTCGAGAAGGCCGCGGCCCTCCGCGCCCTCGCCGACGACGCCCTCGCCGTCCTCGACTCCCTCCCGCCAGGTACCTTCAAGTCGCGGTCTCCATGGCCAGACTATTTCTTCGATTAGTAGCACTGCGCAGTAGTGCTGAGTGCTATTGAAATGGATTCGGTTTGTGATGGTTTCGCTCCAATTGGATTCCGCTAGCATGTAGCTTGAATATCAGAAATGAAATGTAGAAGCCGTTACATGTACTGAGCGTGTTGCAACTTGTAAGCTCTGATGTTTTTATTGATTGCGCATGCTCCATTGGTGCGGAGATGATTTATTAGATACTAATGCAATTTTTTATGCATTGCACCATCTCTCTACTGTTGATGCTAAGTTATTGGTGTGCTGCCTAATATGTTGTGTATTACTATAATTAGGTATTGTATCCCGAATTCAGTACCATGCTCTAGGATGGATGTCAACAGTGTCTGTGTTGGATTTGATGCTGGCTAGTCTGTCTTTCTAAACATCTGTACTCCAGAATTTTGGTGCCCGCATAATGTCTGTTCCAGCATTCATCAATAGGAAATTCTGCTGCGAAACGCAGGCATATATAATCTTATTGTTGTGCATGTATAGCTGTAAACTTTCATGTTTGTGAGTTGGTACAGTACTCATTTTATGTCCAAATGCCTGCATGGTTCCACCTATGCTGCCTTACGTATGTTATCATGAGAACAAGGGGAACTACCATTGCTGTGGCACAACAAACTATGTAAAGCATTAACAAGTCAAGTATTATGCACTATGATGTTCTTGACAATTTCTGAATTCTAATACACAAATGCCTTGAATTATGATATCCAAATTCTTGGCCCCGATCTTCTGTGGTAAGAGAAATTTTTGGGGAATTGCTGACAGCAGCCTCTCAATATCTAAACAACAGCAATGACCAAACCTATTTAGATGGTTGGATCACATCTGATTATACATATTCTATTCACTTGGGGTCCCAACATGATACTCCCTCCGTTTCAGGTTATAAGATATTTTGATTTTGGTCAAAGTCAAACTGCTTCAAGTTTGACTAATAAGTTTATAGAAAAAATAGTAATATTTTCGACACAAGATAAATTTATTATAAAAATATATTTAATTATTAATTTAATAAAAATAATTTAGTAATGTAAATATTATTATATATTTGTCTATAAACTTAGTCAAACTTGAAGCAGTTTGACTTTGACCAAAGCCAAAACATCTTATAACCTGAAACAGAGGGTGTATTTCCGCGCTTTTCTTTTCTGTAAGTTGGGACATGCAACAGGTATCATCAGATAGTTTGTGCTTTGATGAGTTGCTAAGTTCGATTGTAACCTTTTGGGACATTCAATTCCTTTTTTCTGTTGGCTACTTGTTATCTAGGTGATCGATCATTCTGTATGTTCATTTCATGCTCTTTTCAGTATATTTTTTTCTTTAACTTCCAGAGCAAAGGAAAACACCGCAACAACGTGCTGTTTATGAATTCTTGAGGGGAAAAATATTGGATGTTTTCCCTGATTATCATAAGGAGGCTGAAGATCATTTATCCAAAGCAGTATGTAGCAGAAGACTACACATTACCTTGTATATGATGTCTATCGGTTAGAAACTTAAACAAACATTGTTCTACTGGATATATTAGGTAAAGTTGAATCCATCTCTTGTAGATGCATGGCTGTGTTTGGGTAACTGCATATGGAAGAAAGGGGACCTGGATTCAGCAATGAACTGCTTTTCATTAGCATTAAGCAAGGTACATTTTTACCTGTAAGTAGCTACTATGTTTTTTTTTTCATGTGTCCAAATTCTCTAGCATAATATCATTTTTCAGGGGGCAGACAAGAAAATACTATGCCAGCTCTCAATGCTTGAAAGAAGTATGGCTCAAGGTGAGATTCTCCTCATATAGTAACTTCTCACTTCTCAGCTCATAGTATTTTATGGAATTAATTCCCCCCACAGCATATAAATTATGATACAGTGTTATGTCACTGATGAACTAATCATACTTTTTTGTACACAAGAACAAAATTCTGAGTATGTGTTTCAACCAGCTCAAGTGTTTTAGTCTGAGCTTTAGGTTTAATGAACTAATTGCTGCTCATGTCAAAATTATGTTTGAACTATTTAATAGATCAACAAGAAACACCACACAAGACAGGAGAGGTTGGGGGGGGGGGGTCAGATAGGGAGGTTGAGCAATCTTCTGTGGGTGAGATCGACCCTTATGGCCATTCCACAACTCATCTGTTTCTGATGAATAATATACTTGAACTCTGGTATGTTCTGTCCAAAATTGTAAGGCACAAATCTTCAAGTACTATTATCAATATTGAAATATTGGTCCATTGCAAACTAGATCCCCGGCATGCTTAAAATATGTGCTTCTCACTTCTCGGTGGAGTGTTAGGGCATCTCTTTATAAACAGACACGAGCTTTGCTCGTTAGCCTAGCTTGACCTTGGCTCGAATTGATTCTTCTGTTGAAATCAGAATCTCTTACTCCTTAGATGAAATATTATTTAGCTAGACCAAATTTTGAGATTTCATAAGCAGCTCATGAACATCAATAATCAGATTCCTTAGATGAAATATTATTTTACCAACACTAAAGACAACGTGAGTTTGCACACGGGGCTAAACTAATCGAAACAAAACCTAAAGAAAGAGGGGATCATTGCCTTGGTAAAATAAAGGGCCAGAAGGTCGGTGGCGGCAGCCAGTACATGCACACCGAGCCATTCAACTCAATTACATGATATGTGGGCCCAGGATAAATCAGCTAGATGATGTGACATGGACTGGGCTTGAGACTTGATCCTTGGTCTCGTAGAAAAAAAAAAGGAGTTGTGCCTGCAGATTTCACCTGAACTCGTGTGTTTGACCTGCTCCTGTGCATGCATATACGGCTTGGCCTGATTGCATTGAACCATAGCGCACAGGCAGCTGGTACTTGGCTGTTCCTGTACATGCATGCCTTGTTTGTATATATATATACACTTCACTCTGTTGTGTCTTCTCTTCTTTGATCTTGAATAACATCTCTAAATGTGAAACACAAGACAGGCAAAGTATTATTAGCAATCTATTCTTATGCAAATAAATATTTATCCTTATGAACAGATTTTCCCGATAATTAAATAACATAGAAGTGGAGCCAATCTTTTCTTTCCCAGGGCATTAAAAGTGATTTGGGCAGGCACATGGAAAGAGAGGGGACGACATATGTCAGCAGAAGTACTATGTAAAAAAAAAGAGATAGAGATGGCAGACCCAATACCATCACACACTTATCTCGATGCAGATCCAATGTCCAAAAATTTGACTAGTTTCAACACAAAACTGTCAACAAATTATAGCAAACATTGTGTACTAAATGCTAATATTGAATGTCCGAGTCCCTAGTCCCTACTATAAAAAATGTACTACGCCACTTGACTATATCTGTACAGCATTTTCCTCATCTTGTTGCACCCCATTTATGCAGAGTTCTCTTTTCAGGTAGTGAAGGCCAAGCACAGCTAGTGGAAGAGAGCATTAAGCATGCAAAAGAAGCTGTAATGCTTGACATCAGAGATGGAAATTCTTGGTGTAAGAATCTTTTCATTCAAAATAATAGTTGCATATGTTCTGTTTCCTTGGTGTCACATACCACGGTGACATGCCGGCGTTCCCTTGTTGCTTGATTCAACCAGAGTTTAGATTCATATTTTGTGGCATGGTGTAATCAATAAATGTTTTAACCCTGAATTTGATTTTGTTTAGTAAGATTCCAAAACAGCCAGTTGTGATAGACCTGTTATGGGTTAGGGTTGGTAAACACCGCCTGGGGGATTGCCGGGCGGCGACGGCTTCTAGGGATGAGAAGGGATATAGGTTGGGGGAGACTAATTCTGATTCATTTCTCAATTAGAATGATGATGCAATCCATCCTTATATAGGTGGAGGAAAGGACCTAGTCTAATCCTATCCAACAGACTCTTAACTAACTGAGCTACTGTAATACTGTACCGCTCCCTGGGGACTCGACTCCTCAGCCCACTGCCCATGACATAGACATTTATCTAGTTTCAAACAAGAAATGCGTTCTCATATCATTATATACCCCAAAGCTTGTCTTGCCTTTTTTGTAAGCTGTTGCATGAACATCAGAGGAGCCGGAATATTCAGGAACTATATTTGCTGACAGCGTTTCGTGTACAGATTGGTTATTGTGCTTGTGGAGGAGAATTTTAAATTGCCTGGTGGCACATGCACGCTTTTGATCAAAGCTTGGCTAACCCACTCTAGTTATTTTTGCGATATGCATTCTTGTTTTCAATGCGCACAACCCTCGGGTGAAATGGAACGAACAAAAACAACTAGCTCCTAAAATTAAGCATCGTCTTTTCTGTTTGGAGCAGACCAATGCTAGTGTTTTATTGCTTCAAGATAAAACTGAAATTGTGCAATATTTTATTCTGAACTTTGCCTTCTTTCCTTTAGAAGGCTGTCGTTTTATGTACTGCACATATATATTTACTTTAGTCCATTGGATATATGCCAGAAATTGAGATTTGCCCGAACAATTACTTCAGTTGTAAACTTGTACTCTTAATACTATGTGATCACTAGTACTACCTCAAAACACATTATCACTTTCTTCATGAGTGATCCTGGAGTGTGCTTGTTGGTTAAAATAAAAGCTTTGGTACTATCCTTGAATCAACTCAGGTCTTATTCCTGTATTGGTAGAGTTAGTCATCTGTACAAGAGAAAATGGATTTGGTTATTTATCCTGCATATGTTATCTGCAGGGAGGTAGTGTGCACATTCACATGGTACTACTCACATATGATTATCTGAGTGGTGCTGTAGCAGAAAGGCAGCTAGTTACCTAAGTTATTAGCAGACAAGGCTATTATTTGTTTATTCAGTTTTATCATTAGTAATAAGATTATATATTACACTTTATCTTAGTTGAAGTATTAAGGACCTCTTTCTGTATGAAATGGAAAGCAGCAAATCCAGATGAATTAAGCAAAGATGAACATTCTCAAGTCCAATGAGCTTCTGTAGTCTACTCCCTCCGTTTCATAATGTAAGACTTTCTAGCATTGCCCATATTCATATAGATGTTAATGAATCTAGACACACATATATATTTAGATTCATTAACATCTATATGAATGTGGGCAATGCTAGAAAGACTTACATTATGAAACGGAGGAAGTAGTTTTTATCTCCCCATAGATGCACTCTCTCCTCTAAATGCAGTAGCTGTTGTCGATCTCCTTTTCACAGTGTTTATCACATTATGTTGTTAGCCCATTATGCATTTGCAGTGAATATGCAAGTACAAAATTATATATCTCCATACTATTTGGATGGTTACCTTCCTCAACTAGCTAGTTATCTCCTATATCTCATCGAAAACTAGCATTAGGATCTGTTTGGATTTTGGAATGATAAAAATGAATGAATTAACACTTTCTGGACTTCTAAACTTTTAAACATACATATACTGAGGTACAAGGAAATGACCATTAATCGAGGTGTTTCTTCATCGATGAATGATCATATATCCTAATTTATGGAGATGCTAAGTACAGAAAAAATGGTTACATACCACTGAAAATGACCACAATTACTTTAATTCCACCTAAGTTTTAAAGTACACTTAATGCCATCCGAAAGATACACTGTTTAGTTTTACTACTACAAAAACTAGTGATGTGTTACCAACCATCAACATTTATGTTCAGTGCCACTTTATTTGGAAATACCGCATTGAGTAGTAAATTTGAATTAGCAATGTTATATTTCTAAATGAAGAAGCACTCAGCATAAGTTATGAAATAGACATATATGGGTTCCAGGTCCATCAATCTTGCTGCATCAGCATTGAATGGGTTTTTCTGAGATACTCTTTTTTTTTCCCGATTTATTTCTGTTTTTACAAAAATTCTTTATTTCCTCATTTCTGTATAGATAATCTGGGTAATGCATATCTGACAAGCTTTTTCGTGAGTGGATCCTGGGATCACATGAAGCTTCATCATTCAGTCAAAGCCTATCAAAATGCTGTAAGTTTGTGCATTTCATACTTCTGTTGGTTTGATAATTTCATTCATGAAAGTAAGATATATTCTCTGAAAGATTTCCACTTTTTTGTGTAAAGCTTCCAATTTTTTATTCAGGAGTCCATTCTACTCCCCTTCTACTTTCGTGTGAGTCCAGAAAACACTTCTCAACTCAAACTGTTGAATTTGCACCTTCCAACAGTTAAAACCAGTGACAATCAATTCCATGCCAAAAATCGCTTTGGCAAGCTGAAGATGCATTTATTCTTTCGTATTTCGTTTACCCGGCGTCCATTTAGATATGGTACCTGAGTTTGCTAAGATCAGTTTGCCAAATAAACCTGATGTGGTCCACTAGTCATGCAAGAGAAAGAAAGGAAGGGGTACCCTGGGAAGAGAGTGATTTGGCTGGGCAAAGTGCAAACTGCTAGATGTATCTTATAGCTAGTTGTGTATTTACCCTATTCTAATGGGCTCTTCTGCGTATTTGTATGGTGACTTGTATGCACGTTGTCCCATTGCAATTCCAAGGGTTCCTAATACTTAACGTTACCAACGTCTAGGTGGCATGTTTAAGATTTGACCCTAGATGATCATTATGTACCAGTTTGATACTTACCTCAGTCCCAAAATATAAGAATCTAGGACCGGATGTGACGTTTCCTAGTACAATGTATCTAGTACTAGCAAATGCCCCATCTAGTCCTAGGTTTTATTATGGCAAAATTGGTTATAGAGCACCGAAAGTTTTTGTTTTTGGTTTTATAGCATCGAAAGGTTCCGGTTCACTTTAATAGCATTGAAAGTTTACCTCCGTTACTGATTTTAGCACTCCATCCAAACTTCTGTTAGTTTTCTTTTTCTTTCTATTATTTTTGCAATATACCAATATACCATCTTCCTCTTCAATCCTTCTCCCCATCTCAGGCCTCGCACAGGCGCTGGCCGTCCCACCTGTTCCATTCCTGATCTCCCTTGAGGCCTCAAGCTCGCCTTGGACATCAGCCACTAAAGCTGGCCCAAAAGCCAACACCCTCGAGCCTGTCTTCCGGTCGTCCCTGCACCATCACCACGCCATACACAAGCTAGTACTTCATCTCTGGAAGACTGGAACTTGCTGATGAACGCTGTTCCAACATCAATCCTCTTGCCTTGTTAGCCAATCCCAATTTCATGGATAAAAAATGTGCACAAACTGAAGTATAGCAGGGTGGGTATCATACAGGCAGAACAATGTTGCTGAACCACAAGTCCACAAGCTAGACTGGATGCACGACCATACATGAGCTCACCTGGACAGCTGAACGTGCGTCCTGCAGCTTGTGATGATGTCCACTGGCACCCCAGATCTCGTCTGCTTGCACTGCACTCGAGCTTGACGAAGTGCTGCGCCCCTCCTGCTCGTCTCTACAGCTGTGCCATGGAATGGAACTCACCTTTTGGGGAGGATGAAGAAGATAGACGGGGCAAGGTGGGGGAGATAACGTCAATTTGGATAGTGCCAAAATCAGTAACGGAGGTAACTTGCAATGCTACTAAAATGAACCGGAACCTTTTGGTGCTATAAAACCAAAAACAGAAACTTTTGGTGCTCTATAATCAATTTTCCCTATTATTATTTTCGGATGGAGGGAGTAGTTACTAATTAGAGTCTGCAAAGCGAACGGTTAGGTAATGGGTGCTAGAGTTGACCCCCCTCACCCCCACCCCCATCCCCACCCCCACCTCCTGATTTTGGGTGGGCGTGTGTTGGGTGGCCTTGTTTGTTTTATTATATGAATATAATTGAATTCATTTTATGCTCAGGAAAAGGATGAGACTACGAAATGTAATCCAGACCTCTACTATAATTGTGCCACAGTGAGTAACCCGGATCATAACTTAAACTGGGTAGCTAAATCAACTGAATTTTCCGCCAAGTATAGGACATCCTTTTGTGTAATATGTTATTTGTTTTGGTTCCTTCCAGGCTGACAAATACCTAGAGAACTATGAAAGAGCACTTCGTGGATTTGAAGCTGCAGCTTTAAAAGATCCTGGTCTTGGTGCTGATACAGAAGTTCAGAAGATCATCAGTCTCCTTGATAAGCTAGATAGTGCAATGAAGGTATCTTCTACTCCCTCCGTCCCATTATAAGTGCAGCCATAAGTTTCCGTGCCCAACGTTTGACTGTCCATCTTATTTGAAAAATTTATGAAAAAAATTGAAAAGTTAAGTCACGCATAAAGTACTATTCATATTTTATCATCTAATAACAATAAAAATACTAATCATAAAAATATTTCAAATAAGACGGATAGAACTGCGCTTATTATGGGACGGAGGGAGTATGTAACTATGGCATGTAGACCAGAGTTTAACATAAACAGATGAAAATTCTTCCATCTTAACCTTTTGAACTCGCATTTTATCTTATTCTAAATCAAAGAGGCTTCCTACTTACCAACCATGAATATAAGAACTTTATGTTGTCCATATTCATGCAACTTGGCAAAACAAAGCAAAATAACACAAAATAGAATACATCTTTTTTCATAACTATAGCGATCTATGGAGTTACTTTTACGAAATATGCTAGACTGCGACTAATAAACCTTTAGTTCATTGGGTAAATAAAATATTGCTGAGAAGACAAGCAAGCGGCGTTGGTTGAACAGAAGAGAGAACATTATAGATTGGAATGATGAACTTCAGGTAGAAACTTTGGTTGATGTGAATGGTAGATGTGTCTTGTTCTTTGTAGTGATTTAGCCGTTTATGGTCTAATAACATATCTTTAATAAGAAAGGGATAGATTTAACTCGAATATGCTAACACATAACTTAAACAACCCAAAAATCTCATCTCCAATCAAACTGCTAACTCAAGCAAATTGTCTCCTAACGCAACTAGATGCTAGAGTTCCGCGCTTACTGTTCACAAGCGTGAACAGTAATTCCTGCATGGTGCCACACATAATCATAAAACCATTCTGAAGTTCAAGTTGTTTTTGCCTGCATAAAAGGCTTCAAGTTTCATTTGTCATGAATTGACAATGATTTGTTTTGGAATAACTTATTTTCTTATTTATTTGTACTTATGAATAATTTCTTCCACAGGGACAATTACGATCCAAGAGATTAGCATCATCAGTGTCTTCTTTGAGTGAAGTCAACAGTAATACTTTCACTGTCACTTGGCATATATTCAAGCCTGTATAAGATTTCTTTTGTACTCCTGTTGGTTTTTATACGTTTTCTCCTTTATTCTCTCTAGTAAAATCATCTCACAAGAAAGCAACCATAGGCATCCTATCAGAGGGTTTGAACAAGACAGTTGCTGTGTTGGGGAAAGTCATTCTTTTGATAAGACACGACAACATTGCTCCAATGTAGGTTCTCTTAATCCTTGAAATCAATATTAATTATGCGAGACCCATTACAAATTTACATTTTTTTTATGCTCCTGAGTGCTCTTCTTTGGAACATCATGATTTTTGTTGTAAATAGCATAGAGCAATTTAGCAACTTTTTGTTAGAAGAATTATTAGTTACATTAACTGAAAGTTGAAATTTGCACACAGATACTATACCTGGTAGAAAGTGTGCTAACTTTGAAGCACCTAGTTGTAGTTAAGAAAGCAGTGTAACTGGCATGTCTTCATCTTCTAACTCTATCCACAAAAGGGAAAATATTTCAGCAAATTGTCCACCCATTGTCCAAAACAGTTTTCCTTTATTTCCTTATAAGAACTGTTTTATAACTGGGAATTGTGGATGCTAAACTGCAATGATAAGCTTGAATTTAAAAATTGCTTTACTATACATCAACATTTTTGCAAGGATCTTGGATTTGTTTTACTGGCTGAAATAATAACCTTGAGCTTTATTTAACTTCAGGACCTTTTGCCAAAGATAAGCAGTAAGATTGCACTAGTCATGATCTGCTCAACTAAATTCTGTTAAATATTTTAGTTGAATTCAATAAAGTATTGGCCTCTATTTTCTTTCATTATTTAAGCACAGTATTTTGGGTCTGAGCGGTTATGACTGGCATATTTAACCTTGATTGTAATCATTGTAATAGGTTTTACAATGCGGTCAGTTAAACATGCAAATATAATACTCGTGAATAGAATGGGTTTGTTTTTTTCACATGAATAGAATGGGTGTTAACTATTAGCCTCATTGAACTAGAACTTTTGCTACTAGTTTTGGTTACCTGGGGTTATTGTATGCTGCTCAAACATGGTATGATCATTTAGATGAATCAGATTCAATATGCATCTCTATTCAATCAAAGATGGCATACTAAAACACCAATCTTGGTGTATTGGGTTCTATTATTGCGTACCTTTGTATTTATACTGAAATGTGATAATTTCAGGTATTATTTAACATGCGACTTGGATCAGTCTTATTTCATACTCTCAGTCTATGGTCTACGGAATGAAGCAGTAAGATCTCTTAATACCAGTGAATGTTTGTGCTATCATAAATGGAAATTTGCACTTTGTAATTCTTTTTATCGTAGTGATGGCAGTAAGCTGATTGTTTTGCGTTGTTGCTATATTATTGCATAGTATTCATTTTCTTCATGGTCATTTGTAAAATGTTGCAAAGCTTGATTTGACTTAACTGTATAGTTCAATTGGATGCATGTCCTAGAATCTATCATGACTCATTGAGCCTTGCTGTTCAGAAATGCGATGCAGTGCAAGATGTTCGGAAACCTACAGTCAAACTTTATATACTTGATCAGTAATATCCCAAAGGGTAATTAATTGCCCCTTAAGTTAATCATGTAAAATCATTATACTTTTACATGACATAGTTTCATAATATGATATTTCGCTTGTTATATAAAAAGTAGATACAAGTGTTTGAAATCATCAGTATCTAAAACATATAAAGAAATAATTAGTTTGCATAGGAAGAGGTCCACTTTATTCCCCTAAACTAGTTCACTGAAAACCATGTCACTTCACTCCATATTTGTCTATTTTGTTTACCCTTATAGAAGTCTATTGAAATATTTTTTTAGGTATGATAATGAGCCTGTATTTAAAGACATTTTCTGAATGTTTTCATGACCATTTGCAAGTTTTTCATATTTCTGGACTCGGGGGTTAACTGGCCTTGTGTTCTACTGACCTATCCAAATAGAAACATAAATTATTGAAAGGAAAAAAGATAAATTTCATTCGGGTGTGAAGTGACCCAATTCTAGTAGTTAAGTGCGCCGACGCATTAGTTTAGGGGGAGTAGAGTTAACTTTTTCTTTTGGCATATGGAATCAACTAATCAGGATAAGTCCATTTTACACCCTCGAACTTTTATGTCTGTCTAAAATACACCCTACAACTACAAAACCGGGTATCTAACACCCTCCAACTATTAAAACCGTTCAATTTACCCCCAAAACCAAACCAGAGTGGTTTTTCGGTTACGTGGCGTATGACCTCACGTCATTGAGCCCCTCTTCCTCTTCTCTCACCCTCACAGTCAGGCACATCTCTCTCTTCTCTCATCCATGGATCGGCGCTGGTGACCACCCCTAGCCATGAGATCAGCGCTGGGGAGCTCGAACACTGCCTCCCCAAGCGCCGCCTCCTCCCGGTGAGCTCGAGCTCTAACTCCAACCTCCCTCCCCCCGCATCTCAAGCAACGGCTCCACTGAAGCTCCTCCTCCCCGAGCTTGCCGCCCCTGGTCTTGGCGATGGATCGAGTGAGCGAGAGGTGGCAGTGGACGCGGGTCGCGCGTCGAGCCCAATCTTCGCATCCTTTCGCCTCCATGCGTTCATGCCACGCCTGATTCCGCATCCATCCATCATCCGCCGGCCTGAGGTCGGAGAAGACGGGGTTGCCCGCCCGCTTGGCTGAGCTCGACACAGAGCCCGTCCCCTTGCCTAAGGTCGAAGAAGGTTGCCGCAGCGGCGATGCAGTGCAGAGGCAACGGCGGAGGCAGACGAGGTGGGCGGCACTGAGGTCGTGGAGGGTGGAGCTCGCCACCACCTGCGTTTCCTATCCCCCTCAAGCTCGTCGGCGTCCGTGCCATCTCCAACCACCAAGACCGCCCAACTTCCTCGGCTCCTTGTGCCACCTCCAGATCTGCTATCGGAGCATGGGGTCGACGCAACCGGTGTTCGCGACCATCGCTGCTGCCTTGCTCATTGAGCTCGCCTCCATTGTCTCACGTGGGTAGAGAGGGGGGGAAGGGAGACCTAGAGAGGGCAACGGGGAAGGGGGAGCTCGAGCTCGCCGGCGCTCGAGGGGTGGGGGACGACGGGGAAGGGCGAACTCGATCTTATCGCCGGTGTCGTTCTCGCTCGGGAAGGAAAGAAGAAAGTGAAAAGAAAGAGATTTTGGGTAGGAGATAGGTGGCAGCTGACGTGGGACCAATTATTTGTTTTAAATTTTTTTTGGTTGATTGGATTGCCACGTCAGCATAATTTAAGAAAAACCATCCTGGTTTGAATGGAAGGGGTAATTTAAACGGTATTGAAAGTTAGGGGGTGTCATATAACCGGTTTTAGAGTTTGAGGGTGCACTTTAGACAAAGCAAAGAGTTCGAGGGTGTAAAATGGACTTATCCCATCAAGTTATCCAACCATGTTTTAGGTTTAAGATATTTGCTGAAAATATTGTGAGTTCTCTGTTGTTGACATAGTTGCTGTCTTATATTCCAATATGCAAAATAGTTTTGTTGACTGCAAATTTGTCTTTCTGTAGTTTCTTCTAATATCCTGTACTATGCTAATGTAAACTTTATATGCCTTAGATTAAAGAAGGTGATCGAGTGGCATTGTTGGATCCTTACTACAGAATTCTGGATATATCTTGGAAAGAACAGGTATGGGATTTCAATTTTTTTATTTTAAAAGATTTGATATTTGATCCATATCTAGTTAGTAAAAATGTGCCTGTCACCAGAAAGCATGGACAATAGAGTACATTTTATAAAAACCTGGTGCTCATGAAGTCAGGCCTGATGCCTCGAGTGTGGTCTTCTACAAAAACCACACTACCGCATGCTTTTTTTTAATTAGTAGAGAGTTAGGCTAATAGTTCATTTCTTTTTATTTAAAAAAAACAACCGCGTTGCTTTTTTTAATGCAAACACAGCAGAGGAATCCCCTGTGGTTAATTTTCATTAATAAAAAGAGTTTAGAAATAATTACAAAGAAGGAAAAAAGGAAGTAAAAGAAGTGTGTTGGTAGTTGGTACTAGTACCCTTGTATTCTTGTATAACCAAATCCTCTTGGTTCATGTATTAGCATCTTATTATTTAAATGAGTTGCTACAAGTAGCGATTTGTTAGTAGTTACTCCGTTTGGTCTTGAAAACATGTCATTTTAGACATGTTGAATCATATGTATAGTTTTGTTTTAGAAAGTACTTTCATAGAATTATAATTTCATCAGATTATATGAATATATTGCAAAAGCTTAATTACCCTTTACAAATGTAGCCCTACCTTACATGTTGATTTCTTTGATGTCAAACAGCGCTATCAGTTCAAATCAATCCGTGTGGACTTTCCAGAACAGATTCTTGTTAATGAAAAAGCTCCACCACCTCATCATGTTGTACGAGCTTCAATCCATGCACACAATAAACCATGACTCTGGGCAAGAAAACATTTTTTGTGTTGAGAGATTACATCAAGGGAGTGGAGGGACTGAGGATGGGAAGAGCTGTAAGGAAATGATCATATCACAATTTTGTGCAATTTTCTACTTTGTGGTTCTACATTGTGGCCAGTTTTGTCAGCTGGTCATGTGATTTGATCCACACAGGGATGCTTTCGTTGGGGTTCAGCTGTTCAAGGATGGTTTGATTTTTCCCTTTGCTTAGTGTGCTATCCATTAACGGGGATGTACTGTGTTAGTTCGATGTAAATTTGACAGTACTTGTACCCTGTGTAATCATATAGGATTGTCGGCTGCTCGATGACTGTTGCTTAGTGTTATGAGAAGATGGACTGTAAGTTCGGCCATTCGATGAATGGGGCATTTGTAAAGCTTGTTGCAGAAAATCAGATTCTTGAATTGCCTTGGTGAGCATCTTTGATTATGTAGTAAATTTGACTTCTAGCACCGTTTTTGGCATGTTCCTACCTGCATGTCTCTACGTTATTCAGTTTCGATTTTTACCACATCAGTTGACCCTTACATTACGCTCGGAAAACAGCAGCAATTTGGTGCTGCAACAAAGCGAACACAAATTTTGGCTGTGCTGAAGTGGTCTTCCAACAAACGTTTGAATTCAGAAAACACTATCTGTGTGATCACTGATTACGTACACGAGACCTTTCCATGACAAGAATAATTTTTCATAGACCCAACATAATTAATACTAGTATATTTATACATCACAATAGATAAAAATGACAAAAATATAACCAACCTGAAAAACTTTGCTTCTCTAAATGACACTGCACGCCTTGCAAGCAGAAGCAACCAGCACTAGACTGATTCCCTAGCGGACGTGCCATGCCGTAGTGCTGTCCGCGATTTTCATATGGACGACCAACACAAATACTCTATATCCAATGCAGTTTGACCAACAAAAATGAGATTAGTCCTGAATCAATTAATTTTTCTAATAGTAGAGATTTGAACGTTACTCCAGCCTAGATGTCTCGTATCATTGTAGAATCCATTAAGACCATAGCATATATATTTATTCATGTAGGTCACATGTGTTATCTTTTTATTAACCACGTATATAGCTATGAGTCTGAAGACCCATCTAAAAAAAGTTCACTCTTAGGTACGCACAAATCTAAATAGGCACTTTTTTAGATTCATGTAGAAAAGTATAGTCTTTTGGAGACCACGGATGCTTTGCCCAACGTGCGTTATCACTCTTACCACTTTCAACTTTTGTACTACACGTGCTTATAAAACCGCACCACTCCTTCCTTTCTCCACCTTCACGCAAATAACTACTAGCTCCATCCCAAAATATAGCTACCTTCAGCTATGAATCTGGTCCAGATTCATAGTCTAAAGACAACTATATTTTGGGATGAAGGGATTAGATAATATGACAAGGTATTACAGTTTAATACGATAGATACACATTCTGGTGTATTCCCTTGAGCATTAGCTTTTGTCAAAGCCAACACGATTACCTGACCTGACCAGTACATATATGAAAATATTTGTCATATTTGCATATCACTTATTGATATGATTCATGAAATTAAATATATAGTTGTAGCTCGAATTTACACCTTAATCATGTCGTTATTTGATTGGTGATGAGTTGACGCACAACCTCCTTCATTGATAATGATGATTTGACCGGTGACGACAACAACAATGTGATTTGTGGTAACAACAATGTATTGAGTCATCCCTCGTACGTGCTTCACCCTGTTTCATCTAGTTTAACAGCTATGTATTATACTTCACCCTTGGACGCAGTCCACTCTGTCCCCTCACGCATATATTATTAGCGATCTTGCGTCATAATCAGAGGCACTTTTCTTTCTATTATATTGGATTGCCCCTCAAGTCCCATCAATGCAAATACAAAAAGAGAGAAAGGGGCTCCTTGCAAAGATGATGATCTCTCACACGATTAGCCACCTCCCAAAACTCAAAAGTTTCATCTTAGATTATCACAAACCACTAGAAGGAACCCGAAGGGCCATTCTGAAGGGCCATTTTCTAGGTTGTGCACGGTACCCTGAAGGAAGGAAGACAACATTCGGAACACAATGGTCCAACGAAAACTTCATAAAGCCAATGATTTGACGTAAGGGGCTCTTACAACCACTACACCAACATAGAGAGGACAACGACCACAACATGTGGTACCTTGGCTTCAAGTAATCTGGTCTACAACACCAAATTTTGCATGAGATCAAGAATTGGCGATCATGTTTAGGCTAGGCTTCAAATCTTATGAGATAAGGAACTCATACTTTCACTGCTCACCCCTCTCATCCATAATCTCTACTTGATACATTGATGGAGCTCTTCACAAAATGAAGGAGAGGACGGGGGTAAATATATAGACTACTAGGGTCTACTTGCATTCTTTTTTATTTGCACTTGCATTCGAATGTTTTCTTCTTTTTTTTAGACGCCGCATAAATTATTTTAGAGATGGTGTACTAATTTTGGATGTTGCACAACTCCTTATCCAACTTTGCACATTGTTTTAAGTGATGTTTTGTACCTTAGTCACAAATGTTGCATCAACATCCAATTAAACATGCAAGTATAATACTATTTCACTGCTTCACCCTCTAAGTTACAAATGTCGCATTGAACTTCATTAGGCAGTCAAATGTTTCATCCAAGATTTGATGCAACATTTACAACAGAAAAGAGAGAAACATTAAGATGTTGCTAAGTTCTCTTCTATTGGATGTTTGATGCAATATTTGTAACAATGAATAAGTACATATATATTATCCTCAGCTATTTCATTTATATAAAAAGCCTCCTCAACTCCTAATAATGAGCAAAGTTGGCAAAAAAAGTGTTATATAACATCCAAACATTAGTGCAGTATCTCTAAGCAACTTGTGTAACATTAAAGCAAAGAGAGTGAAGCATAAGGACTAAATAAATAAAAGAAGAGAATACATCTAAGAATTCTTAAAAAAAAATTTGTAAGAGACCACATGTATTCTTTGTTTACTGGATTTGGGCTCCATCAACGTACTCAAAAGGATGAAATTACTTCCTTCCCCATAGCCAAGGGAGGTTTTAGTGGCGCTCGTGAACATGAAGACATCAACCTCCAAAGAGAAAACACTAGCATTCAGTACATCTTGTAATAGGGAGCGATTAGAAAAAAAAAAAGATGGAATAAGTAGGCAACTAGGAGAAGAGAAGCATATTAGCTACAATAATGATCAAAATGTGGAGATCGAGATGAACAGAACAAAAATGAGAAAGTGAGAGTTGAGAAGACCTTGACCCGAGCACAAAATTGAGTAGAATATACGATAATATTGCCTACATGGGCATATTAATATTTGTTCCATACTAAATAAAAAAGAAATAAATATTTTATGCATTAATATTTGTTCCATACTAGATGGTCGAGCAGCATGGGTTGGATGAGTGAACATGCAGACCACATGTTTAGCCAAGTGCACTATGCTATCTATTAGCATTATCGTTGCAATAATTATACTATCCGATAAAAACTAGATCAAGCTTAGAGCATGAACTCACTTGTAAAAGGCAACATATGTGGATATGCACTAGATTGTGCCACATGGATATGTGAGATCATATTCTTGGGTCTACAACCGGAGTGGTAAAAAGTTAATTATTCCCTATGCTCTCTATTTGCACTAAGGCCCCTGTTTAGATCCTTCAAAATGACAAAAGTTTTGCCATTTTGGAGCACTTTTTGTCATTTTGGATCTAAACGCTAGTAGAAAAAGTTGTCAATTTGTCATTTGCTAGTCCATAGTAGCAAATTGTGTCAAAAAGTGCTGTGGGACCACTCTCTCTCTCCCCACCAAAAAGTGCTAGAATGGCATTCTAAAAGTTTAGGATGCATCTAAACACCAACCAGTACTTTTACAATGCCAAAACTTTTACCACCAAAACTTTTGCCATTTGCCATTTCAAATGGATCTAAACATACCCTAAGTTGCTAGCCCCTTCCCTCTCCAACTTTGAAGTTAGCGAAGATCCATGATATGAGGAAGTATGATGATAGAAAAGTGTCGAGTAACAAGTTAGGTGTGCTTATATTAGGCTTGAAATCTGAAACAATGTATTGAGCGGATTGTTACGGCGAATATCTAGGATAAATTAAATGTTTTGATAAACAAATTTAATAAATAACTTAAAATAAGTGGTCTAAACAATATAATAAAAGAATTTTTTATAAGAAATTGCTTTTTTGAAGCATGGAGAAAATAGTTCGTTTCAATGATCCGGTATAAACAATCTAAAAAGAATTAAGCTCATCCTCTTGGACATTAGGCTTGTTAAACAAACTTGGAACTCCACATTTAATTAGCCATCTGCCGTTAATTTCTTCGGCCTTTTTTTCACGTAAACAGGAGGGAAGATCCCTACTGAAATTCTTTAAAAGAGATTTATTTACAAGAAGAGTTGAAGGAGAAGGATGTAAAGAAAAAAAAAAGCAAAATATTCAGCCATGATTTATAAAAACAACCACCCTTAGATTAACTATAAGAAAAACTAGACCAAAACGCAGGCTTGCATGGAGGCTTTTACTGCCAAAAAAGTCCTTAATTTATTGCGATGGTTCTAAATTGTCTCGTAGACAAATATGCTATGGTTATTATTTCCTTTGAGCATTTGTTCCATCGTGAATCATGTCAGCTAGCAACAAACAGCACTTCAAACCAGACCGGCAGACCATCTGTCCAACATCTCTAACTGTAAGAAGTGAAAAACAAATGTCTCAGTTTCTTTGATTTGGTTATGACAAAGTATAAAGCATGTTCTCTCAATCGCTATATGTTCTTCAGCCTTAATAAATCTTTAGTATTTCCTATCTTTAAGCAGCAGCCAGAAAAATTAAAGAATACCTTCCACTTACTAAGACAATTGGATTTCAGTGTCCACAAAAAGGGCTTAGGAACCTGCATCGATCCCATCATATGCAAATTAAAAAAAAAAACATCAGTCCCCCATGTATAACTCCATCTATCCTATTGATCATCAGCAAGTTGTCAGAATGGGCGATAAAGGTAGTTAGAAATGAGCACCAAGATTTTCCTTAACAACAAACTGACGCAAATGAGACAATTCTTGGCAAAGGAGAAGGGTGAGCGAACTCAATTCTTGAAAAGATCCCAAGAGTCCATTTCTAGCCATGCTAGCAATATTGAGTAGTTCTAAGAGCAATTTATTTCAAGATTATCTGAACATAAAGGAAATGGAGAGTCAAAGTTTAATTGTATTTGTTTAACAGGAAATGGGATTTCTAAATGATCTCAATTTAACAACAGCATCTGAAGAAGTATCCGACCAACAAAGCAACGGAAAATTCTTTACACAATGGAAAATTTTGTGTATATGAGTTGCACAAGCGGCCAAACCCAAGGGCTGCCACATGCTAAATAATGTCCTACCAATTCTATGTTCACTGGTTAGACTTCGAATGAGGCATCATCTTTTCCTGAGTTGCCTGATTCAATGCAATATCACTGCATGAGGCATACACAGGTCTCATAGCAATCCAAGACATCTGCAGATGAGCACTGCAATCAATAAGATACATTTATCACAAAAATGTTCAGGTATGAAATTTTTAGACATCAAGAAAAGACATCTCATGTTAGAAATTTACCATCAGTAAATAACTGCCATATCAATGTTTCCCTAAAACAAGAAACACATCAACCAGCTAATTCCTTCATGGGACAATATCCAGTAAACCACAACCACAGTAGTATGTCACTACCTCTTCTCTGTTATCTTTTATCTTGAAGGGCCCAAACAACAACAGTAAACATGTGCACGAATCATTTAGGTGGTCAACTTCTGAGATGAACAATGCAATCTATCAGTAAATCCCCTCACATGCAATCATGTCCCTTATCTTTATGATTTTCATTTTTGCAACTCCATATTCAAGAAAGAGGTGCCATTACAGAGCTCGTTGAGGCACCCCCATATACACTTCTTCTAATGTTGGCTACTAACCTATCTGCGACCTCAACATCAGTCTCTTCATCTTCTTTGAGCTTGCCCAACTCCTTTGGATCTTTACACTCCTTCAAAACATCTGAAACAGCCTGTGCTTTCTGCAATATCAATTTCCTCTTTTCCATGGAGTCATCCCCTTCCTTATCCCTATAGCTGCCTGGTAACTTTGTAGAATGTGGCACTGAGCGCATTAAATTTGTCAACTTTTGGATCAGATGAACCAAACCAAGTCGCTTGAGCTCTCTCATAAGCTTCTGGTAAGTGATGTACTGGGGCACAATTCCTCTCTTAAACATATCCTCAAACTCAGCACATGCCTCCTCAAATTGATGACGCCGGCAAAGCAAATGTATCAGCATGGTACTCGTCGCCAAATCTGGCTCAAAACCATGAGTTCTCATCTCCTGTATCATTTGCACCACAAGTTCAAGCCGGTTCGCCCTGGACAACATCTTGACCAAGAGGACATAAGTAAGCTGATCTGGTGAATAGCCATTACCGATCATTTTGCTATAAAAATTCATCCCTGACTCAACATCGCTGTTCTTGGCAAAGGTCATGAAGAAATAATTGTATGTCCTTGTGGTCGGCGAAATGCCCCGTTCTGTCATCACCTTGAGCACACTGCTAGCCCCAGCAAGGTCCCCATGCTTGCAATAGCCCATCACGAGCGAGTTGAAGGTGGAAATGTTGGGCGCGACACCGTACAGAGGAAATTTCTCGAGCACCTTGTGGGCGTCCTGGAATCGGCCGGCCTGCGCAAGAGCGTACACAATGGGGTTGCAAGTAAGCAGATTGGCCTCGATCCCTTCTTCCCGCATCTCGTCAAGAAGCGCAATCGCCTGGTCTGGCCTGCGCTTCACGCAGAGCCCCTCGATGAGAGTCCCATACGTGACCACCGTCGGGCGCACCCCGGCGAGGCGCATCTCGGCCCAGAGTTTCCCCACCTTGTCGAGCCTGCCGGCGCGGCTCCAGCCGTGGAGAAGGATATTGTAAGCCCGCTCATCTGGTGGCGAGTCGGGCTCCTCGCGGCGCCACCGCTCGAAGAGCTCCACGGCCGCGCGCGGGTGGCCCTCCTTGCAGAGCGCGTCGACCGCCATGTTTAGCAGGGACGCCGCGGCAGGGATGTCGCCGCCGGCCATGTAGCGGTCGGGGTGGCGGCGGAGGAACTGGAAGGCGCGGAGGGCGGCGGGGGCGCGGCCGAGGCGGGCGTAGCGTCGGACGAGCGGGGCGAAGGCGGCGAGGGGAGGAGGCGTGGGGGAAGGGGCCAGGAGGAGGCGCCAGGCGGCAGCAAAGAGGCCGCGGGACGTCAGGAGGGAGACGGCGGTGGCTTCGCCCGCCCATCGGGCCAGCGCCGGGAGCGCGGAGTCCGGGACGGTGGGCAGCGACGGGCGGAGTTGCTGGAACACGGCGGGGCACGGGTCGATGCCGGCCGCGGGGAGGCTGGCGGGGTCCTCGCCGCGGAGTATGGAGAGGACGGTGGATGCGGCGGCGGCGGCGGAATCGTTGGGAAGGGTGGAAGCGGCGAGCCGCCCAGGCCTGGCCAGCATTTCGACGGGCGCCGGCGGCTGCGTGTGGAGAATTGTGGTTTTGCAGGGGACGACGTCACAAACTCACAACCCTACCCGACGCGAGTAGCCGTCCGATTAGGGAAGACAAAATTCCATCTACGGCACACAAAACAACCCGCTAAAAAAAAATGGGAATTACTAGACGGCTGCCTGCTGAAATTTTTTTCATTCTCAGCCGAATTCTTGCCCGTTGGATTTCTGCTCAAGATGCGTGCAACGAACCCATCTATTCACGGAATTTTTTTTATTTATACATTTTTTTATAAAAATATTTACAAAAATAATTTTTTGTTTCGAAAATTTACAAATCTAATTGCCTGCCGCCCTCTAGAAGGGCGATTTTTAAAAATCGCCCTCTCCAAGGGCGGCAAGGGACCTAAATACAAAATTTTTATTTGTGTTCAAACCCTTCCCACCGGTTTTAATTGCTTAAAAACTAATAATGCTTATTCGATACTCCAAATGATTTTAAATGGAAAAGTGATAAACTACAAAGTTATAGATCTCATCAAGATCTACAACTTTTATATAAAGTTTATCTCCATCCAATATCGTTTGAAATGTAGATCTGAGATTTTTTAAAATGTGTTTTATATTTTATAACGAATATTTGGACATCTTAAATGAAAAAGTTATTAACTACAAAATTGTAGATCTCCTTGAGCTCTACACTTTTGATATAAAGTTTTATTTCATCTGACTTTATATAATATAATTTTAAATTGTAAAATCATAGAGCTAACAAGTTATGCTGGAAAATTTACATTTAGGTCCCTTGCCGCCCTGTGGAAGGGCGATTTTTAAAAATCGCCCTCCCAAAGGGCGGCAGGCGATTAGATTTGTAAATTTTCAAAACAACAAATTATTTTTGTAAATATTTTAATAAAAAAAAGTATAAATAAAAAAAATTCTCTATTCACGTGTCCCACGCAGCACATTTTGGCCCGACCCATCTGTCTCTTTCTCTGTGGGCTGTTCCCGTGGCCCATGCAGCACAGTATACCCAGCCCAACCCATGACGCATGTCATTGCGGCAGCTACACACGCGCCCGTGCACTGTTTCAAAAAACAATTCGCTTCTTTTTCTCCTTCGTTCTCATCCGCTCGTTCGAGAGGACAGGCAGAGGCGGAGTTCTCGGCGCTATCGCCGCAACTCCGCCGCGTCGCCGCTGCTCCGCCGCGAGGTAGCCACGTCTGTCAGCGAGCCCCCGACGGAATACTTCGCGCGTGGCACTGATTTGGCCATGGTGGTTCTCTCTCCGGTGGGCCAGGCGACCAACCATCTCTCTCAGGCGGGTGAGGGGACCAACCATTTGGTGGATCTCGCAGTTGGATCTCTGATCCATGAACCAGTGGCGAATCCAGGACAAAATTGAGGATAGGTTGGACTATAAGTCTAAATCTAAGTTAATAATGTTAAAATGAAGCATATGCCATTATCAATTCAAATGTAACACTTACATGATTAAATAGAAAAACATACTTATAAAAGAATACCTTGAGTCCTTGACTTAAGATGCTAATTTTTTTGGCCTTAGCAAAGATTAAAGTGAGCAGCCACCTGAATATATAAATGAAGAAAATTAGTAATACATAAATGGTAGAAATAAATAAATGTTAAGTAAAAGAAGCAACATACTGCGTACCGGTTCAGCTACCTCCATCGCTCCTATTTTTCTTCCTCGTGCCGCCAGAGACAGTTGTTCGCCTCTTCTCTTCTCCCTGCCTTCTCCAACTCCTCCCATGGGATAGATGCTATATAATTAAAATTTTTTTACAAAAATCGGAGGGTAGGCTCGAGCCTGATGAAGCCTACCCATTGGATCCGCCCCTGCCATGAACTCTCAGTCAGCCATGGGGGCAAATCGACCTCCAAGGTGAGCGAGTATACCCTTTTTCTCTTTTTTTCAAGGCTACACAGGTTTCGTTTGTTTTGTAATTTGTGTTAGTTTTTTGTTATTTGTTTTTGGAAACGTTCATCTGTGAGTCAGATCTGTTAATGTGGCCATCTAATCTCGATCGCCCCGTGCAAACTCATATTTGATTCCCCGTGCAAAATTGTATTTGATTTGTGCTTAGTGTTGTCTGAGAAAAAAAACTAAACATCTACTATGACATCCTGGAGTGGTAAGCATTTCAGTTTTTGTTTATACCATATGCAAAGTTTTTTTTCTACCCTTGCACGTGTGGAAGTTACTTTCAGTATACTTCAGTACATGGTGGCCTGTATGCTATTCATCAGTATGTCACCCTCGCACTGGTGTCTGGTGGTAGCGTATTTCTTCTTCTATTATCCGCTATGTCCAATCCATATCTGTTTTGTTGGAACAACTGCATGGCTGTGCACTCCTGTCGCCCCTACAGTGTAAGTGCGCGCTATTTATCATGCAAAATCTCTAAAAAATGACAGTGCAAGAGAGACGCTAAAACTGAATATCAGATCGACTTGAGTACTTGACGCGCGCTGCAACCGAATGAAGGCTTGTTGATGTTCAGTTTGCAATTTGGTGGCTGCATGAAATTTGGTATGTTCCATTTTTTGGTCCCATTGTATTATCAACATTGTTAGGTAAACGAAGGCTTTCGATGATTTGATCGCTCAATTTAATTATCTCATGTTTCTCAACTAGACTATGGGATGCTGACACTATTTGCATTGAACAGCACGCGTGACCATAATTTGTTGTTATATGTGAGTGTTTTGTGGCATGATCATCCTGAAATTATAACTTTGTCATGCTTTTGTGGTGTATCTTTTGGATTTTTGTAGTATACATTTTTGGGACTTCCCCTATATGTCACTCATGAAAAACTTGTAGGCAATTCCTGCTACGGATGGGGCCCTTGAGCTTGGCGTATCAGTTGCCAAGGGTTCGATGGTTTCTTCTGTTTTGGTTGGCAAGGACGTGTTTCCAACAGCAGAACACGAGGCAAGCAAGTTCGCCCCCAAGATGCATATTTATTTCTCACTGGATACATGGATATTTATCAATAGACAGTTTAGCTGCAGTTTTGTAGATACATGTACTGAGATAGCTGAATTGATGTAAACTTTTCATGTTCTGCCAGTGCAAATTGATGTAAACTCTAATCACAATTTATTTTGAACCTGACAAGAGATGATATTTTTCATTAATATTTGTCAGGTACAATAGGGAGAATGCAATGAAGAACCATTTTTACCTGCTGATGTCTCGTTAAGGACTGTTGATCATACATATCCGCCATTACATAATCTTCTTTATGTGAGTCTTTCACCCAACCTGAAAAACACAACATGTAATATTTGTGATTTTTTGTAATTTGTGAAGTTATATCGTGTCAGCTTTGTGCACACTCTCTGAGTTTGTTTTTTTATTTTTTTTCTTTGTCTTTGTATTTGTATTTGTCTTTGTTAGATTTTTATATTTTCATGCGTCATGCGTCTTTGTCTTTTTTTTCTTTGTCTTTGTATTTGTATTTGTCTTTGTTAGATTTTTATATTTGCAACATGCGTCTTGGCAATAGGTTGGTCTTGGCACTAGGTTGGTTTTGTCTTTGTCTTTATCAACTTTTATAAGATTTAGCTACATATTTCTATTATTTTTCTCTGTAGGAGTTCAGAGCAAGAGGAGCCTAGGGGCCATGGCTGACGATGCCTATCTGGAGACCCAAGCAATTCCAAATGTGCCAAAGTGAGCAATTCCTATGTGCTACTTCACATTGTGCAAACTACAGAGGCAAGACTGCTGTTCAAACTGTTTCTGTTCTGTTTCTGTTCAGACTGGATCTTTCAGTTTCCGATATGCCTGACCATTTCTAGTAGAATCTAGAGTTCTACACACTTTCGGTTCTGCTGTAATTAGCGTTCAACGAATTGACTCAAGATTGTAGAAAACGCTACCATTCATATATCTCCAGAAAAAATGGCAGCACATTTTTAGTTAGTACAGTTCTACTAGTTGTATACAGTTTTGTTTTTTTTTTTTGCTTTCTAGTTTTTTTTTTTGAGAACTGCTTTCTAGTTCAGATTAAACCTAACTTATACCTACCATAGCTTTGTTTTGTGATCTGATACGGTAGCAAAAAAAAAAAAACCTCAAGAACCATATGTTTTGTCTTTGTCTTTGTCCCTATTAAGCTACTGAAAATCTAAAACTAACATGACCTATAGAAAGAACAATCCAACTCATGTGACACTCTGCTCTCCAGACAACTAATGGAATTATATAGTTTGCAATTTTCAGTTGTTTTCATTGAGAATTGAACATATCAGGGGCTCTAAGAACTAGTTTGTGTCTTGATCTCTGTACTATGGGTAATGCAACTTTTTGTAATCAAAAGTTGCATGATGCAACTTTATCTACTGGCAGTTTTCTGAATATTTTTCAGTTTTTATTCTGAACCAAGTGTGTTTTATCAAACATGGTTCATGCATCAAGACAAGGTGAACCACCACAAATGAAAGCAACACAGAGTGATTTGAAAAATTCCAGATCTGATAGTCAAATAGAAAAACAAGTTCATGGGTTTCAAACTCAGAATCAGGGAGGTAAGTACTTGAACCTAGAGTTTTTCATCTATTTCTGCACATACCTAGGGCTTCCCCAATATTCAGCATTGAATCGCCTCTCTTCTCATCTCTCTTCATCTTCAACGATGCATCCATGGAGATTTTTTCGTTGCACACAATATTCACTCCTTCCCGATTGAGCTGACCCCTTGTTTTCTTTTTTTTTTCTTTCTTGGATCGCAAGGTGGTGGACGGGTGATGATTGTGGGTGACGCTGGCATATGAGAGGCGTGATATGTGTATCTTTCTTTTTCCTGTGCTTTTTTTATGGGGACAAAACACGTGTATATGGTCTTTTCTTTCTTGCTTTCTCTCCTCCTTGCAAGTGTGGGCTTTTATTAACAAAGATAAATCGTCATGATGCTTTTTAATCCCATCATGGGCTGTGGGATGTGGGCCATGTGAACTAGTGGGCTTTTTTTTGTTTGTATTTTTTCTGGGAAAAAAGTACACCGAAGGTCCCTCAACTTCTTCTCGAGTTACAAAATCATCCCTAACCGCAAAACCGGATACAACGCATCCCCAACTTACAAAACCAGTGCAAGCATCCTCGGCGGTTTTGACTCCAGTTTTATCTGACGTGGTAGATGAGTCAGCACGGGACCCACGTGGGCCCCACACGTCAAGGTGACCACGTCATCATCTCCTCTTTCACCTCTTCTCTCCCTTCCTCCTCTCTCTCTCTCTTTCGGTAGTCCGCGTCCGTGTCGCCGCGCCCGGAGCCCCCTGTGCTCGTCATCTCGGCGTGCCGGCTGTGATGGAGACCACCATCCTGGTGCCAACGCCACTGTACTTGTCTGCCTCGTCACACTCGAATCCCGAGAGCATTGCCGAGGCCGAGGCCGAGGCCGACGCGAACGCCGACTACGAGGAAGGCGGCGCGCTCGTGCTCCCGCCGGAGGTGGGTGAGAGGAGGGCAGGAGAGATAGATGAATCAGCGGCTCCAGCTCTCCGCCAAGCCATCCCTCACAGCCGTGCTCGTCGCCGACTCCACCCCCACCGTCGCCTCCGCTGCCGGAGCGCCGGCTCGTCATGCTACGTGCGCACGGGCGACCGTGGCGTGGTGGTCAGGGGACTGATTCAGATAAGTAACATACATGCATAACCCCACGATCAACTGCTAAAACCATAAACCCAGACCCCCAAATCGACACATGTATGACAAGAACTGATCCATCAAACAGATCTTTAATCTTTAGGGTGCACATTCCCTCACTAGTGCAGCAATTAACCCAACTGCAGAAACGACGGGCTACACTTGCACCTCGTACAGAACATTCCAGTGAAATCAAGAATCAAACAAGCATGTTGATCTAAGGAAAGGCACTAAGCTTCAAAGCATACCGTTGAAATGTCCAGAACTCCAGATCCCCTGGAAGCAACCCACCCAACAACAGGAAGTAAGCCAAACAGGGAAGACAGGAGAGGAGGTTAGCAGGTGGTTACTAATGGTGGCTTCGCCATCAGGGCACTGGACCATCTCCCTTGGTGCCGAGGAAGGCGTGGAGGATGCGTGCCACGGCCTCGCCGGCGGCGACATTGGCCAGCCTTCTGCGCGTCGAGTACTCGAGTCGAGCCTCCACAGCGCCGGCTCGTCGTGCTACGTGCGCACGGGCGACTGTGTCGTGGTGATCAGGGGAGCAGAGCGGTATCTCTACATCGTTGTCACCGCCGCCTCCCATGTCGTTGCCGTCGCCGCCGCTTGAGAAGGGAGGCGGGGGCCTCCACCTCCACGGGGCTCCGAGTCCGCCAAGTCCACCGCTGCGGGCGCCCGGTAGCCCCGCCTCCACCTCCGTGCCCACCGTCGTGGTGCCCGGCCCCACCTCCGCCTCCGCACCCAACGCCGCGGCGCCCGCCCGCGCGGGGCCGCTTCGCCGCCGGCGGCGACGTAGCGTCGTCGACGCCATTCGCGACCGGCCTCCGCCCTCGCCTTCTCCGGCGTTGCTGCCGCCTCGTCGCCTGCCGCCTCCTCCTCTCCCCCGGCGGCCTCCGCCTCAGCCGAGAAGAAAAGAAAAGAGTGAGAGAGAGAGAAAGGAGGGGAAGAGAGAGGGTGATGACGTAGCGACGCTAACATGTGGGACTCACGTGGGTCCCACGCTGACTCAGCCGCCACATAGGACAAAACCAGGTTTAAAACCACCGAGGGACCTAAAATGAATGGTTTTATAAGTTGAGGGATGCTATATATCTGGTTTTGTGGTTAGGGGATGATTCTGTAACTCGATGACAAGTTGAGGGACCTGCGGTGTACTTTTTCCTTTTTTTTCTGCACAAATTGTGACGGGCTTTTTGTTTCTTTAAAGAAAAGAGGATGTGGGCAGTGGCCTAAAAAAACAGAAATGGGCTGTGGCCTAAAAAAAAGAAAAAAAAATCATGCTACTTTCTTTCTGCGCGCATGGATCGTCCGTGCGCCGATCGCACGGCCAGCGGAAAAAAAAACGGTTGACAAAACAAAAATTTTAAGCCGCATGTCACATAGACAGTCCAAAAAAAATACCCCTCATATCCAACGTTTGACGGTTCATCTTGTTTAAAATTCTTTTTATGATTAGTATTTTTGTTGTTATTAGATGATAAAACATGAGCAAGTACTTTGTGTGTGACTAATTCTTTTTAATTTTTTCATAAAATTTTCAAATAAGACGAACGGTCAAACGTTTGATATGGATACCCACGGATACACATTTTGGGGCAGAGGTAGTAGCATACGATTTTTCCGCTTTTGACCAAAAGCACAGCACAGGCCACTGATTTTTCTTGATACGTAACACTTCCATCCCATTTTAAGCAAACGACATCGGATTAGATTAGAGTAGATAAATTATTCTCGGACTAATTCGCCTAATGTTTCTGGGTGGTGACGGCGCCCTGTACATTTGGGTGGTGACGGCGCCCTGTACATTTGAGAAGGAGGCCGCTGCCACTTTCCCACTTCTTTCTGCCCTGATCACCACCAAATCCGGTGTTGTTGAGCCTACACTACCTAGTAGTTGATAGGAGCGTGTATATTTTTGTGTATGTTTTTTCTTGCACACACAACGGGATATGAGATAGCATGCTCGACATCAACACCTTCATCACCAAAAAGATATGACGGTTTCTCTGTATGAAGCGTATGAGCTACCTTATTATAATCTTGCTCAAATCGAATTTATTATGCCATTCTACAAGCCCATAGACCCAATATAGGTGACACAACATCTTTTTTCTATGATTGTAGCCAACTAAGATGCAATTTGGAGATGAGGCTGTATATATCCGATTGGAAAGCGCACTCCGAGAGCTTTCCATCAAGTACTCATGGACTCAAAATGGAGCTCGTATACATATTTGGCGGCTGTTTGAAGTCAACACTGTTGTAGGTGGCCGAGTTGGATTACAGAACTTCTGCGGCTTTATCTCGATATCTTATGGTTGATTTATGATTCGAATAATGGTTGTATCTATGGTAGTTATAGCCACATCAAGATTTCCTTGTTGAGTTGTGTGATAATACTTCACATATATTTAAGCCACAACTTGTGAATGGACAAGATATTCCTATAGTTATTCTTTTATGTGATCATTTCTAGCGAGAATGAAGAATTTCAACTGTTGTCTTTAAATACTCTAAGCCATGCTCAGTTTGATGACTTTTGAGAGTTTGGTAATTTGAAGGAGAAATTGTTTGCTAGATCAACTAATACTATATGTCATATATTTGGCAAATATAATGATAGAGGAATATATTTGGTGCACAAAGTTTACATGTGTTTAGATTTAGGACCTCCTATAGTTGTGGATAAAAATAGCAAGCTAGAAAGTACTCCCTCCATCAAAAAATATAAGAACCTAGGATATGTCTCATCCGGTCCTAGGTTCTTATATTTTGAGACGGGGGAGTAGTATCATGACTAATGATGAGTACCCAACAGCGAGTACCCTAATTTATCCCTCTCTTTTACGGTACCAAATAAAACAGTTATCAAATTAATTCAGAAAATATGATGACGATATACCAAAGCACTTAGAATCTAATCCACCCGTGCTTTCACACACGAACAAAAGAGGAGGCATACACATGTACCAAACAACAAAACCAGGTAAGACTTCCTTGACCTTGTTTCTTCTCCAACCAATCAGGCGGCAAAATATTCAGATAGAAGCTGATGGGATCGCCACCAGGTAGTTCGGCAGGGACCAAACCCTAAACATGAACTTTAGGAAAAGGGGCATTTGCAAATTTTCCATCGGTTTTTTCAATATTACAAGGATGCCACTCGAATGACAGTTCTAGTGATATTTTTGCAATTTTCTAGTAGCAGTTTTGCAATAACGATTCAAAATAGTGGTAAATTTGCAATTGCCCCTTAGGAAAACCAATCTGCCTCCTGTTGCTAATACCTAACATATATGTATATTTGCATGCAAGCACTAGTACTGGACCCAACACAGGCTCGCAGGCCTAGACCAACACCGACTCCAACTCAATAAACAAATTAATATAGTGACTAAATAGGCCTTTACAAACCAGGCCCAACATATATTAAAATAATGCGGCCATGATGCCTAATGGCCTTGGCTAATTATCTAGGTCTAATTAACCCTCACCATGATGATTGATATCATCGATTTTATTTCCATCTGTTGGCACTGGTACACTGCATGGAGGTTGAAATATTCTTTGGCCTTCTCCAGACTTTATAAAAATATGCAAATCACCAACCTGATATTACTTGAGTAGTCTGGGACATATCAACTAATAATGTTATCTTGAGTTTGTGTTGTTTTGATTTAAATAGTCACGTTGGTTCGGAAGAAGAAAGCAACCAAATCGCTTAATATTGTTACCATGCACCAATACAACTGCACCATGCGAGAACTTAGCTTCTAAGAGCATACCCAGGAGCTCATCCATATTTGATCCTCCAAATGCCCATATGGATTATCATCCAAAAAAGATAAAAGATTCCTCATTCATATCCCTTTCACTCCAACAGATCATTCATATCACACCATCCTATATTGGGGTAATATTCTCCAACTAACCTTACATTTGTACTTTTAAGGGATATATTTTGAACGACTAAATTTTGACGGTGTTATTTATCGCGATAATATTTCAAAATGAGTAAATTTTAACGGATATATTTTTAATGGGTAATTTTTTAATTGATATATTTGAATTGAGTGAAGCATTTTTTTATGTGTGCAACGGCAACATTTCGAACGGCTACATTTCCAACGGCTAGCTAGCTCATTCAAATTATCCAACGGCTAGCACATGCAACATGTAAAGTTCAGCTCTATACATACCGCTACATTACTTGCTATCTTTTTGCTCCATCCACATTATTGTGCATAGTTCTTCCATCACTCAATGAGATTCATTTTGAGACAT